AACATGTCATGCTTGCTTTCCCTTGGATGGGGATGAGGGAGGCAGTCTCCACTATAGTTTCTTTCCAAACTTAAAGAGTTCCCTGAAAGGGTTATTACCATACGTCATTATCATTCTAATACCTAAAGGCAGCCCTTTTAACCAGAACAGATAGCAAACTGAAATGAACAGAAGTAATAAAATTAGAAAACAGGAGAGAGATGGGACAGCTACCCATGGAAAAAGGGATTCTCTGCCCATTTGGCCCAGTGCTATCAATGGCCATGCTACCAGATCCTAGCTCACTTATTTGATTCCATCACTACACTGAGATCAAGGTCAGATGCTGGATCCCCACGTGAGTCAAATGGACAGCAGTCTCATGGTGAAAAATTTGCCCAACCTCTCATAAATACCATCACTTGTCCTAAAGGGATTCATGAAAGTGAATACAAACCAATCCATGCAAATTCATCACCATTCCTGGAAAAATAACCAGGAAAACCCGATCTGTGAGTCAGTCCATTGGACAAATTTCATTTAGGATGAACACTCTGATGGTCCTGGGTTGGTCAGATGTGAGTAAGAAACTATGCTCTGGGGGTGCCGGGGTGGCTCAGTCATTAAGAGTCTGCCTTCGGCTCAGGTCATGATCCCAGGGTCTTGGGATCGAGTCCCACATCAGGCTCCCTGCTCTGCGGGAACCCTGCTTCTCCTCCCACTCCCCCCTGCTGTGTTCCCTCTCTCGCTGTGTCTCTCTGTCAAATAAATAAATAAAATCTTTAAAAAAGAAAAAAAAAAAGAAACTACGCTCTGCTACTTACTAGTCCCGTGTGTAACCCTGGACAAGTTCATTTTTCAGAGTCTTATAGATAAAACACATCAAGGGTCTCAGGTAGAGTTTGACACAAAAGGGATGCTCAAGTAATGTCGGCCCCAGCCCCTCCCAGACATAAAACCTGGGAGTTAAGAGTGGAGGGACGGAGCCAGGCTCTGGAACACACCTGTGTTTCAATCCCAATTTGGAAACACACTAGCTATGAAACACTGGGCAAGTGACAGCCTCGTCCTTCTCATACAGCTGGGGAGTATTTAGGTAATGCCTAGCACATGGCAAATGTTTTTTAAATGTTGGTAAGACAAAGACATTACTATCATCACTATCTGTCGATCGGTGTTTCTCACAGTGTGGTCAGAGAACTACGCATATCAGAATGACCTAGGATGTCTGTTTAAAAAAGGGGGGGGGGGCACCTGGGAGACTCACTTGTTAAGTGTCTGCCTTCAGCTCAGGTCATGATCCCAGGGTCCTGGGATCAAGCCCCACATGGGGCTGCCTGCTTGGCGGGAAGCCTGCTTCTCCCTCTCTCACTTACCCTGCTGTCTTCCCTCTCTTGCTGTGTTTCTCTCTGTCAATTAAATAAGTACATTTAAAAAAAAAAAAAAAAAAGACCCCATGTCCCACCTTCCCAACCTATTCAAAAAAGCTCAACAGCAGTGCCAGGTAATACTCATTTCTTAATCAGACTTCCTTGAGATGCATTCTAAAATTTTAGAAATTAGGGACCCAGTTGGTTTTATGCTGGGTCACAGTAAATTAAGACTTGTCTTCTAGTACTTACTCTTTACTATGCTATGCTAGGAGAATTACCCAGGATCTGATGTTTTCCTATTTTGGCTATTTTTGCATCTAAACATTAAACTGATAGGTTCACTTATAATTTTTTCCCCCAACGGCACTATTCTGACTTTTCCTCCCCTCTAGCCAGAAGCCAGCAAACTATGGCCTTGGTCTGTGGCCAATTTTGCACAACCCCAACTTCCAGAGGAAATACGTGTTTAAAATGTAAAAAAAAAAAAAGAAAGGAATATTCAATGAAGACCATATATTGTTCACAGAGCCCAAAATACTTACTAGCTAGTCCTTTACAAAAACGTGTGTCAACCCCCGGTAGCCCTATACTTTTTTTAAACTGCAAGTCTCAACACAATTTACATACTTAAAAAATAGTGATAATAAGTGAGAATTAATTAAAATAGGAGAGATTCAATAGATATTTTCTAATGCACATAATAGAGGGACGTACCATTGCCAAAGTTTCTGTTCTATACGCATATACGTGTATTGGATAACGATCAAATTGTATTTGGCTGTAGTCAGAAAGTTTTAAAGTCCTTGTGGGTAGGGGTGGGAAATAAATAGCGCAATTGGCTAATGAGTATTCATTAACACTCACACGGAGTAATTTTTACAATAAAGGTGCCTTGGAGAACATAAAACCATATAAAACGATCCCTGCTGTTTAGAAGTTAATGGCTTATTCATTACAAAATGGAAATAAAACCTGTTTTGTGTACAATCTACATTGTAGTAAGGAGAAAATGGAATCATCAATGCAAAGTACTTCCAAAGCATTCTACTAACAAAGAAAATAGTTATACTAACAATAAATCATATCAAACATATATAGGGTTTTTTTTTTTAACCACCTTCCTTAGTTCCTAGTTTCCTCCAATCTGGGAAACAAGTCTTTTTTTTTCCTTTGTGTGTGTGCAAGTGCATGTACATAAGTGTGCGTGGACGTGCCAGGAGCATAAAAGAAGTATTAGATGCTTCTGCCCTTTCTGTGTCATCTGTTATTGGCTTCTCCTTCCCCTCTATTTAAAGTATGCCTTCTTTTCCCTTTTTCTTAGTTCTAGCAAGGAAAGCATTTGATTAAATTCTTGTGCAAAAGGAACAAGTAAGACTATGACCATCTTATCCCTGGAAACACTGAAAAGTCTAAAATAAACATTTTTTAAGTAAGGGTTTTCCTTTTTATCTTCATTGAACACTGATGTCCAGGGTTTTTGTGATTTTTTTTCAGACAAGCTAAAAATACATTAATTCTAAAGCACATTTCAACAAATTTGCAAAGAAAGCACCTTCCTAGGAACCTACTCAAAGAAAGGATACCTTAAAACGTTTTCATTATATGGAATACACTGCAGACACACAAACCACAAGCAGTGTAAATAAATAAAGACTGGTGCAATGCTGAAATGCTTGTTTGTCTTCCACCACAAAGAGAAAACACTTGCACACCGTGGTATTTTAGCTTGGGATGCCACAAAGATGGGATTTAGGCATGTGGTGTAAATACAGGAGGCTGTGACTGTGTGCGTGTGTGCGTGTGTGTGTGTCTGTGTGTGTCTGTGTGTGTTAGGGAAAGAGGGTTGTAAGCAGAAGGGGTGGGACTTGCCAGGAGCAACTATTGCAGAAAATTCCTTTTTCTTTCTCATTCATTCTTTCTAGCTTGTGTATGGCACAATCCTTACAATTACTCACTGACTTTTCATTCTAAAGACAACCAACAAGCTTTCAGAACTTCCTACAGGGGTTTTCACATACTTTTTTTTTTTTTTTTAGGCACCAAATCATTGACTATTTGTTTTAAATAAAAAGCAAACCATTAGCCCGTTTCCTCATTCCAAAGACCCCATGAGTTGCAGGCTAAACAGGATCCTTTGTTGTGTGTCCAAAAATAACACAACGCGGTATTGGTAAATTGGAAAATAACAGATTACTCTGCTTCCAAGAACGTCAAAGTTATTGCCATAAATTTTATTCTGCCCCAGTGAGTCCAATTTCATGATCCTTTTAGTGAATATACAGTCCTAACGACAGCAAAGCCAATCCAACTGAATACCCTTCGCCTTTTCTCTTTGGACACTCCATTAATAAATTACAAGAGCGGCAAGAGGATGCCAAGTGGGCCAGTTTCCTTTACGCACAATGGTATCCGAGCCGCGAAATCTGTCCAACCACAGTGACAGCTGTCTTGGATGCCCACCCCACACCGTTGGTCCTCTGCCGGCGAGCCCAGGACCAGAGGGGGGCACCGGGACCGAGAGCCTTAACCTCTCAGCTCTCAGCGCCCCACCTCCAGAGGAGGGGAAGAGGGGGAGGGCACGACACGAAAGCAGAGTAGGAAGGTGGGCGAGTGGGAGAGACAGAAATGGATGCCGAGGAGGTGGGCGAGATGGGAAGGTAGAGAAGGTGGCGAACGCGGGGAGAGGCGGGTGAGCAAAGCTGCGGGGTTCTAGAGCAAAGGGGCAACGGCGCGGGCGAGCGGGGGCGCGCAGGGGGTCGGGTCCTCACCGTTGAACGCCCCGGCGTCCGCGGCCGCCTCCTCCTCCTCCTCCCCGTTCTCCGAGTCGGTGTGCACGGGCTCCTCCGCGAAGTTGACCCCCTTACTGGGGGTGCCGCCCCCGGCGGCGGCGCCCGCGTCCCCCCAGGTCCTGCCCTCATGGCCGAAGCGCGCGGCGCCTTTGCGCTCGTTCTCCTGCTGCAGGCGCGTGAAGTGCTGCAGCGCGAACTCCAGCAGGTCCGCGGGCTGGTGCCTCAGCACCTCCACCGTGAAGCCCTGCAGCAGCTCCGTCAGTCCCGCGGGGATCTCGATGCTCATCCTGCCTGCCCGGCGGCGGGCGCCTGGGCGCCGCCCTCGCCGCCTCCCTGGACCGGCCTGCGGCCCCGCGGCCGCCAAGCGAGCGCAGACGGCGCTGGAGGCGCTACCCGCTGCTAGCGCGGCGCTGTGGGCCCCGGCGGCCCGGCTGGCCCGGCTGGCCCGGCCCGCGGCTCCCGGCGCGCGGCTGCTCCGTGCGGCGGCGGCGGCTGAGCGAGCGCGGCCCCGGGAGGGCTGGCAGCATCTCCGGCTCCTCCCGCTCCCGCCGCGGCCGCTCCTCTCCCCACCCCTCCCCCGCGCCGGGGCCGCCCCGCCCCCGCCCCGCCGCGCGGCGCGGGAGGGGGCGTCGGAGCGCGCCCACGTGACCCCCGGAAACCATGGCAACCTCCGCCGGCGGGCGCCGCGCTCCGCCTCTGGGAAGGTTGCGGTGCTGAAGACGCCGGCGGGCGGCGGCTGGCTGACGGGGGCCGCGGCTTCGCGCGCGCGGGGCACGGGCCCTGCTCGGCACTGCCCCAGGGCGCCCCCAGGCGCGCCTCGCAGTGCACCTGTCCGCGCCTGGGGGCTGGCGGGCCGCCGGCGGAGTTCCACAAGTCAGTCAGCAAGGCGAGCCGCGCGGAGCTGCTGCCACGCGATTGGCCTCGAAACTTCAGCCTCCACCTCGGTAGCGGCATTTTCTTTTCCTCCGGGAATCTAGTTGCATTGTTAAGTGTTGGCAGTGTCTTTTGTTTAAAGTCCTCTGTGCTACCGGTTTTGTTTTGGACAAAAAAAATAATAGCCTATCCTTGTGACACCTTTCTCCTTCGCTGCATTTTACCCAGCCTTTCTCCATACATCCTGTTTATGATGTTTTGCTTTACTGGTACTAATGCGATGCACTTACTACTATTTATTAACACAAATGCACCATTTATTATGAGGCCCTTCAAACATGATAGTGCAGCAATTTGAATAAAATGTCAGAGTCAAGACGGACGGTCCTAAAGCAAAAAACGTTTTGCCTGATGAGGCTCTAATTATTTATTTTAAAACTTTACATTACACTTGGAGCTAATCGAATTGTATCTCCAAAATAGGATACTTAATATAAAGAGAAATAGAACTAGAGACGTGTGCCATTAAAGTAGACGTCCTTGTTTTTAAAATGAGTCTTATTCTGCAAATATTTACAATTTTGAATTAGGAGATTGCTTTTTACCAAGTAAATGGTTTTTTTAAAACACGTACTTCATTTTCTACAATGACCATAAAATAAATGGTCATAAAATAAATAAATAAAATTGTAAAGAACAAGCTCAATTATTCTGATTTATCTTTCCAATCTTGAAAAAAAAGAGTACATACATGACTCAGGAAATTCAAAGCCTAGAAATTGAGATATCACATTTATAAAAACTCATCTTCATAGTAATCCTTTGCTTATAATCCAGCTTGTAACTGCTCCATTAGTGAATGTATTTCTTGACTTCTGTTTCTTAATCAACCTCATAATAGTATATTGTTTTTAAATATAGTAAAGTACTTCTACAATGCCAGGCATTGTAAGCAGTAAGGTTTTATTAAATATCATGATCCTCATAGAGGACAATATTAGTCCAACTCTTTATCATGTAAGTGTTCTATAAACCATATAAGCATTATTATCTTTATAGATCCAGTAATTAAAATGGATTTTCATTGCCTGCCTTCATTTATGATGATGTTTTTATTAAGATTAGCTTTGCTCACATGTGGCAGAAAATGCCAACTACAGTAGCTTAAGCAAGATAGAAGCTTATTTTTCTGTAATGTAAAGGTAAGCAGGACTGGTGTATGGTGGTTTCATGATCTTCAGGTATGTAGGCTCCTTCTACCTCATGGCTCTGTAATCCTCAGATTGTGATCCAAAATTGTTGCCCTACTTTCAGTCATCTCATTCATGTTTAAGCTGGGAGAAAAGTGGGAAAGAAAGGGATTCCACCCTCTCCTCCTTCCCCACATCTCCCATCCAAACACATACACACACACACACACACCTCTCAGAATGCTTTCAGGAAGTTAAACGCACCAATTCCTTGTATACTCTCTTGGCCAGAATTTAGTCAAGATGGCCACATTTGTGATGGATGCTGGATTGCGTTTTCCAAAGGTGACTCTAAAAATATCTCCTGTCCCTTATGTTCTTCTAGGGTGTGGCCTTGCCACTCCCCCTTCAAGGGTTGAAACCTTTATTCCCCTCCTCTTGGATCTGGATGGGTTCGTGACTGCTTTGAAAGAAATCATGTCAGGATGACAAGAAGTAGCCTGCTCTGTGATGCAATGCCCCAAATCCTGACCCACAGAACCTGTGAGCATAATAAAAAGGTTGTTTTAAGCCTCAGAGTTTTGGGATAATTTGTAACACAGCAATAGGACTGAAACACATAGCCAAAAGGAAAGCTCGGGAATGTAGCCTTTATTTTGAACAGCCATGGGCCAAGCAAACATTTGGAAATTGAGAACCAGTTCTGGGGGTAATAACCAGTGTTTGCCAAATGGTTAACACTCTCCTCCAGGAATGACAGGGAAAAAAAGAGCTACTTTTCCAAACATTTACAAAACCGTATGTCAAAGTAGCATATTCTGTGTTTCAGAGTAGTTTATTGTTGTTGTTGTTATTTTGTTTTTGTAGATTTACTATATGAGGCAAGGTGCATGGCTCTGTCATCAATGGCAATGCTAGGGGCATATGGCTGTCATTTCTTTAGGGGTTTAGAAGTGAGTCAGGCATGAAATGCGTAAGGGGATTAGATGACCTACATGGTCTCTCCCATCCTGGGATATTCTACAACAGTATAATATTAAAAGAAGACATGTGGGATTTAAAACATCTTTGCAAACAGCTCTCTGATGAGAAGTTTTATTTGCTTCAATTCGTAAATCAGTAACCATGACCTGAAAAATTAAAGCTTGATCCTGGTAGTCCTATTATGTTAATATTGTTCTCAGAACCAACGTTCACTTCTAAACTCCTATTCTGGCTTTTATTCCCTACCCCGTATCTATTTGGGTTAATATGGTGTGATTTCCTTTGCTTTCATTTTTGGAATATGTCCTTCCAAACCTTGGAGGGCAGTGACAGTGGCCTATGGGGACTATTTATCTTTGGATTCTCAAAAAACATCACTGAAATTGATTCTTTGGTTGTTGATTTACCAAGCAATTTTCACTAGTTTCTCAGAGAAGCTGAAGCAATTGCAAAAGAACTCTTAGAGTTCAGCATTGGAATCAAATAAGAATGCTATCAAATTTGTGTTCATGCATGGAACATAAATAGATATTGGACAGAAACATCAATTTGTTTATATGCAGCCGCCAACACAGGACGACAGCATGGACAAGCCATAGGTTATGATGGAGAATTGTAACTGTGACCAATCAATCAGACAGCATTTCCTGCCAATAGTTACTATGTATTCTGACCACGTCTCTTTGGCTAAAGAAATATATACCCATTTGAGGCAAAAAGACAAATGGAAAGGAAAGGGGGGTTGTGCCTACACAGAGCCCACTCTAGCTGTCTCTCTTAGTTTTATATACCTTTACCAGTTCAGTACCAGCTATCGGTGTCTCTAGTTCATATCCGGAAGAGAGGGAATCCAGTTAATTTGGTCTTGACCATCCAGTGGATGGGCTGGCCTTGCATGAGAGTTTCTCTCCTGATTCAGTCCGTGTGGCCAGTGGCGTGCAGGATATAGAAGGGGCTGGGTAGCATAAATAAACACATGTCAACACTTATGTCTTCAGCAAAAAGTCCCAAACATGGACACTGTCAGTGGCATAGGTACCTTCACAACTTATGAAAGATGGCCACCTCATAGCCCAGACATCTTGGAAATGTTTGGGCTAAGACTAAATAAAATGATTCATGTCTAGATGCAGGTGTGTACCCCCAACTTTTCAGATTCAGTAGGTCAGAAGTGGGGCCTGAGGATTTGCCTTTCTGTCAAACTCCTAGGGGATGCTTCTGCTGCAGGTCTGGGGACCACACTTGGGGACCCACTACACTCGATTCCCCCAGCAGGGAGCTTATACTCATACTGAGAAGACAACTGCTTGAAGTAACTTTTCTGCTTAACATCAAAGCATGAGTTTTTCTCTGGCTAAATGCAACCTAAATGCAACTTCATTATTCTGTTCTCCTTTAAGAAGTCTTGTACAGCTAAAGAGATTCTCAGAAGCAACAGAGAATATATCCTTAAATGCTACAATTCATAAATAGAATATGGGTTTCCTCTTAAGGACGAGGTCGGGCGCACAAGTTTATCTCTGCTTCCTAAAGCTGCACTGAAACCATGACTAAAGGAATGGGGAAGATAAAACAAAATTATAAACTCATAGGGACAAAAGAACAAGAGAACTATAATAAAAATTTTAAATGATAATAAAAAATTTAAGTTACTTAACCTTAAAAAGGAAGGGAATTCTGGCGTACACTGCAATGTGGCTGAACCTTGAGGACATTATGATAAGTTAAATAAGCCAGTCAAAACAGACAAACACTGTATGGCTCCACTCAAATGAGGCCCTTCGAGTAGTCAGAGTCATAGAAACAGGAAGTAGAATGGTGGCTGTCGGGAGCTGAAGGGAGGGGGAAATGGGGAGCTGTTTAATGGGCAAAGAGTTTCAGTTTTGCAAGATGAAAAACTTATGAGGTTGGTTGTGCAAGAATATGAGTGTACTTCACACTACTGAACTTGAACTATAGACTGAAAAATGGTTAAGATGATAAACTTTGTTATATGTAATTTACCACAACTAAAAATTTGTTTGTTTAATTTTTAGAAAAGGAACAGGAAGGGGCGCCTGGGTGGCTCAGTTGGTTAAGCGTCTGACTTCGGTTCTGATCTTGGGGTTCTGGGACACAGCCCAGTGTCGGCTCCCCATTGAGTGGGATATCTTTGTATCTCTCCCTTCTGCCTCTCTCCCTGCTCGTGCTCATTCCCTCTCTCAAATAAATAAATAAGATGTAAAAAAGGGAAAAGGAACAGGAAAAGAGACAAGAGCAGATGAGAGTTGTCTACTAAAATTTTGGAACTAACTTAGCAAAGTGTGGAGAACACTGGAACCTAAGCTTGGGTGAGGGCTCAGTGAGAGGAAGCCAGTGAGTAGCGAGATCACATTTGTATCACAGAGCACAAAAGCACGGAATCTGGAGACACCAGGTGCCTCTGAAAAGCAATAAGGAGCAAGGATTAATGAAATGTTTGTAGAAGGAGCTGGTAACACTGTCCACCCTCCGGCCCTCCTCTGCCCTACATAGGCAAGCAACTGTGCTCCTTCATTCCCAGCAGGAGGTGGAGGGGCTCACTTGAGATTTGCACAGCTGATTGTGGGGGATCAGATGTGGCACTGAGGAGGAGGGATTGATTCTAATTTGGTGAACTACTGATCAGTGGCCTCTTTCCCCCCGTGGACTCCCTAAAGTACACCCTTCCAGGCAGGAAATTGGAGGATTCCTCTTGAGGGAACTGACCAGCTCAGGAGTCAAGACATACAGATGCTGACATTCGAGAGCCCAGTTCTCTGTCTTTTCACCCTATTTTGAAGTTCACCAGTCAATACCCTCTATCACCCCCGCATACCTCATAAACATGAATTCAGCAGGAATCATCAGATTTCCAAGAAAAACTTTTAGTATGACAG